GGGGGTGTGGGGGGGTTCAGGGTGACTACAGCATCTATCATTAGGGGGCTTGTTGAACCCTAGTTATGTATGACGCATTACTGTATACACGCATGGCGACCTTCGACATGGTACCGATATGTATCATATATTTTCGTGTTCTATTTGTAAAAAAGAATCAATATATTTTATCCGTTACTGCGTCTACATATGTATGCTTGTTTATGCATTATATATATAGAAGTATATGACAAGTACGCAAAAAACAATTATTAAGACAACATTAGTCTCCTGATTTTGTAGTTGTTTAGCTGAACATTCACACCTTTTATTATAAATTTTATCCTGTGTTTTCAACGTGTTTATGCAAGTAAATATATTTGCAAGCTGAATACCACGCTCCAATTCCCACTGACACTGCCGAGTACATGTGTAAAAAAACGCTGTGGATCGTACATGTAGCGGTGAATCGTGAGCTACCGTAAACACCCTAGGACACACACATGCATGTAACTGCAGTAGAAAATAGTAGACGCTTCATCCTCCGGAGGCATAATGGTGAATGACTGTGACACGGGGAGAGGAAGAGGATTAGATACGAGTACCAGATTCTTGACAAATAATATTTCGGTGGATGACGTAATGGTTTCTTTGAAACCCTTAGGAAAATACCAAATAGCCTGCGTTATTTGTATATTTGTTGGCTTTATACAAAAGGCGCATACAGTCCTTATCCACGTTTTTATTGGTAAGTCCTGGTAGTCAATTTAATGTACGTCTATCTAAGCATGACCGTACATAAAGTGGTAATATACACATCTATACGTCTCAGGTCGCGTGTTTACAAGTGTCAATATAGCCGTTTAGAGTAAGCTATATACTGATAAATTCGTGTCTAGTTGTAAAATTACCGTCGTAAAATAATTAAATCTAAATATTGGCTCACATCGTTATATATATTTATACATAAATAAATTGTAGCGTACGTGTTTTTTGCTATACCATGTGTCAGAATATAATGTAGATATGTATAAATATGATGGTTACTGGCTAGTGGCATGCCATTTGGGGTGTTGACTTGAAAAATTCAGGTATCAGTTTAAAAATCATGCTTAAACAAAGTGTAGGTATTTCAATGATTTGAAAGTAATATAATGATGACTATATCTATAAAATCAGTGTTTCCTCCTCTTTTCACTGATTAACATGCACTCACGTCATTATAAAATCAATGTTTCCTCCTCTTGTCTCTCGTTCATACTCTCGTCTTTGTAAAATCAATGTTTTCTCCTTTTGTCTCTCGTTCATACTCTCGTCTTCGTAAAATCAATGTTTCCTCCTCTTTTCAGTCATTTCCAATCACATCTTTGTTACATCACTGTTATTTTCTCTTGTCTCTCGTTCAAACTCTCGTCTTTGTTACATCAATGTTATTTTCTCTTGTCTCTCGTTCATACTCACGTCTTTGATGCATCAATGTTTCCTCCTCTTGTCTCTCGTTCATACTCTCGTCTTTGTTACATCAATATTTCCTCCTCTTTTCTCTTATTCCCAATCACGTCTTTGTTACATCAATGTTATTTTCTCTTGTCTCTCGTTCATACTCACGTCTTTGTTACTTCAATGTTATTTTCTCTTGTCTCTCGTTCAAACTCTCGTCTCTGTTACGTCAATGTTTCCTCCTCTTTTCACTCATTCTCAATTACGTTTTTGTTACATCAATGTTATTTTCTCTTGTCTCTCGTTCATACTCTCGTCTTTGTTACATCAATGCTATTTTCACTTGTCTCTCAAACTCTCGTCTTTGTTACATCAATGTTATTTTCTCTTGTCTCTCGTTCAAACTCACGTCTTTGTTACTACTTTGTAATTCCTCTTTTCACTCGATCTCGCTCAAATCTTTTTTTTTTTATTATAATTTATTTTTGATTGTACACGTTAGTACACAGTGGAGTACATGACAATTATTACGTTGTATTACATATTGTCTCGCATACTATTGAATTCTAGCTTCTTTTTAATTTTGTTTCTTTTTCGTGTACAATAACAACTGCTTGCGTTCTTATTATAAGGTAGTAATATATTCTAGATATGATAAACATCGATAACAAGAAAGAGCAAAATATGGATTTAAATTCAATTAATCAATGTGCAATGCTGTGCTGATAACGACCCACTTTGCTACTACTTGGTCGGCTTTTGCTTTCGGATATGACAAGATACATTGCTTTTCTATTAGCTTATATTATGATATTGCAGAACGGACGCCGCCAATAGTTGTCATTGTATGTTTGTTTCTGCATGAGTAAATACATTTCTTTATGATGATGATGATGATGATGATGATACACATATTCACACTTTCATTTACAGGAGTGTCATCTGTTCCGCATATAAAGGAAATATTTACGACCCACTGCGCTACTACTTAGTCGGCTTTTGCTCGGGGATATGACAAGATGCATTGATTTTCAATAAGCTTATACTGTAGTATGATATTGCAGAACGTACCCCGCCAATAGTCGGCATTGTATGTTTGTTTCTGCATGAGTTAATATATTTCTTTATGATGATTATGATACACATATTCACACTTTCATTTGAAGGAGTGTCATCTATTCCACATATAAAGGAAATATTTGACCATGGAAATTCTATATTACAATATGTTTCAAATTGTTGTCTGAAAAATGACCATAACGCACGTGTATGAGGACAATCCCGAAATAAATGAATCAGCGTTTCTCTATTTACCGTACAAATAATACAAATTTCTGTTTCTGTAATGTTCATTTTCATTAGTCTAGAGCTTGTATAGAGCATTCTATGTACCAATTTAAATTGAAAAGTTTGTAGTGTTGTGTCATCTGTTATATTGTAGTGTTGTGTCATCTGTTATATTGTAGTGTTGTGTCATCTGTTATATTGTAGAGTTGTGTCATCTGTTATATTGTAGAGTTGTGTCATCTGTTATATTGTAGTGTTGTGTCATCTGTTATATTGTAGTGTTGTGTCATCTGTTATATTGTAGTGTTTTGTCATCTGTTATATTGTAGTGTTGTGTCATCTGTTATATAAGGTAGTTTGAAGTACATCTTTCAACTGTCATTTGTTATATCTAATCCCATTTTTTCTTGCCATTTTTGCATTGATGAAATAAGGAGATCTTGATATTGATTGACCAATACTGTATAAAAGTCTCTAGTTATCTTTTCTTTCCCTTTTAGTATTTGTATATATTTATTTTCTGGTACATCAATTTTTTTCTTGTATGTTTTAATCACATTTGTCTATGAATTTGGGATAGATGCTAGTAAACCAAAGTCCTCAACGAAGTTAATTTGTATATCATATTGAAGTTTAAGTTGCTTCACATCAATAAATTCACCCCTGTCATTAAGTCTTTAATGAAGAATACATTATTTTCTACCCACTTTTGATATAGTACATACCGTTTGTTTATCTTAATTTTATTGTTAAACCATAGTGGTTGTGATCGTATTTCTGATAGAAGCCAATATTTTAATAATATTACTCCAGAAAAGATTGAAGTGATCTGCTATGTTGTTTAGGCCCTCGCTATTCATGTACCAAATTGACTAACCCCCAAAACTTTTAAGTTTATCACTCGTTCGCACTCAAATCTTCTTTTTCTACGTTAATGCTTCCTCATCGTTTTACTCATTCCTAGTTACGTCTTTGTTAAATCAATTTTTACTTTTTTTTTCAATCACTCTCAATCACCTCTTTGTTTGTTATATCAAATTAACCCCCTCTTTTCACTCGATCTCCATTACCTATTTGTTACATCAATGTTAACTCCTCTTTTTACTTATGCCCAATCTCCTCTTTGTTACATAAATGTATTCTACTCTTTTCTCTCGATCGCACTCACCTCTTTGTTGCTTCAATGTTTCCTACTCTCGTTTCCCGATCGCACTCACCTCTTTGTTGCTTCAATGTTTCCTACTCTCGTCTCCCGATCGCACTCACCTCTTTGTTGCTTCAATGTTTCCTACTCTTGTCTCTCGATCGCACTCACCTCTGTGTTGCTTCCATGTTTCCTACTCTTTTCTCTCGATCACACTCACCTCTTTGTTGCTTGAATGTTTCCTACTCTTTTCTCTCGATCGCACTCACGTCTTTATAACCTCTCTGATATTCTTTTCATCTTTTCTCACTTAATTATTTGTTTGTTACATCAATGTTTCCTACTCTTTTCTCTCGATCACACTCACGTCATTGATACATCAATGTTTCCTACTCTTTTCTCTCGATCGCACTCACCTCTTTGTTGCTTCCATGTTTCCTAATCTTTTCTTTCGATCACACTCACCTCTTTGTTGCTTCAATGTTTACTACTTTTTTCTCTCGATCGCACTCACCTCTTTGTTGCTTCAATGTTTCCTCCTCTTGTTTCTGATTCGCACTCACGTCTTTATCACCTCTCTGATATTCTTCTTTTCATCTTTTCTCACTCAATTATTTGTTTGTTACGTGAATGTTTACTTCCTCTTTTCACTCATTCTCAATCACGTTTTTTGTACATTAATATTACCCCGACTTTTCGCTCCCAATCACGTCTTTGTTACATCAATGTAACCCCGACTTTTCACTCATTCCCAATCACGTCTTTGTAACATGTATGTTACGTTCCTTTCCACTCACTCTCACTAACCTCGTTATATTTTACAATTTGGTATTCAAACCAGTGTGTACTATATCGCAATACGATAGAAAAGCAGATATTTCCAGCAAAATACTTAATTGAAAGTATATTTTTTTTATGTATTTTTCGATGTGATTTTGCACGAAGATTGAAAGGTTTTTTAAACAGTTCGGTTTGGGACGACAAATGGCAGTGTGTAGTCTGATATCAATTGTTTATTACACAAAAAGAGATACTAAAACTACAAATAGAACATTTCCGTGTTGTAGGATACACTCCAGACTTCCAGTGTAGAAACCTGAGTAAGCCGTTGACTGAGTATGGTATTAACTTGTCCAGCAATGAAAGTACATACAACATCATGTATGGCCAGTGCCAGATAACGATTCAAGAGAATGGTACAATCGGACAGCAGACAGAACTTCCTTGCCCAAATGGACATCACTTCAGTACACAGCAAACCCAGTCGACGATCGTGACAGAGGTAGACCAGGCATACTCATACTGATTTTTTTTTTATCCATGAATCATCTTTTATTTACATATATTTATTTTGCGCTGCAACCCACTATATGAACATTACCAGCAGAAATGCATTTCATTCGAGTATGAAATCATAAACTCTCGTGACGTAACACGTGGTTTACTTATGACATCATATATTAACCTTGTTCAATGAGAGTCTTGTCGCTTGCTTCGGATAACATGGAGAATGCACCTGCGTCAAACGCTCAAATGACTACGGTTAATTATTGGCGCAAATTTTATTTAAATATGGCTGTTCCGCCAATGTCGTTTAAAGGACGACGCAAATACAAAACTCAGTAAATAAATTAATTATTTAAGAACAAATGTATAACATGAAACAATTGTTCTATATTAAGAATGTAAATATATGGATTAAACGGCGTTTTTTTTTTTAATTTTCATGCCGGTATGAAAATTTAAAAAACGCCGTTCAATCCCTATCAGTGCATTAAAGCTATTTGCTAATAAGTAAACAGAGAATGTGTGTTTCCACAAGAAGAGTGACTAAATGTGCAATGAATGTCTGTTTAAAAACTATATAATATGTTCGCATGTGTTACAGTGGGATCTGGTGTGCGATAAACAGGGGCTCGGTGAGCTTAGCCAGACCCTTGTCATGGTTGGACAGATCGTCGGGGCGGTATTTCTGTCTCCACTTCCAGATAGATACGGTCGCAAACCCGTCATGGTAAATCACAGAATATTTAGTTCATGCAGAACAAAATAGGCATGTGATAATCTATCTTTTGGATTCTAAGAGATTTAAAACATTTCGGTATTTCAACTTTTTTCCCAGATGAAATAGCACTTCCTACTCGTAAGTTTGTATATTCTATCTATGAATAGTTTACGTGGTATAAATCTGTCTTTGTTGCAGTGTCTAAACACGACAGTCCCTGTGATGTGTCTTGAGCTCTTCTCTACCGAGTATAGGGGTTTTGCAGGCGTCATCACCAATACCATGTGGTCGACAAGTGTCATATCTCTCACCCTGTTCGGCTACTTCCTGAAGGATCTATCCTGGCGGTATATTCAGCTGATTTCTGCTTTGAGTTGCGTGTTAGGTCTATTCTCATTCTGGTAGGTAGAAAACAAACATGGATTGGGATATTATTATTATCATAATAAGTTTAGAGAGGACATAATTGTTGAACATTTGGCGTTTGTAAACTTAAAAGTATGAGGTTTAAATGTTCAAACACACGACCAAAATCCTTTTAAAACTGAGACAAAGGATGCAATTATTTAAAAAAGAATTTTAAAAATATACACATTCGACACTTACACAGCCCTGACATATTATTGTTCTTATTAGAAAAAAATAATATTGTCCGTATGACAATTATCTGCCTTGTTAAATATCGTTACATTTTCTCGGTAAAAACTACGACTATAAATCGTTTGAAAGCAGAAATAAATCAAACAATACACTTTTCTAACATGCTAGTTTCTTCTTTGTCAAATTTCACATTGCTACAGTTTCTCCGAAAGTATCATGTATCCAGTTAGAAAGTCAGATTATATCATTGAAAATAAATGTTTTTTTTTGACAATTATCATGTACCGGTCAGGGAATATTAAAATCTTTTGTAGGGTGGATTTAAAGGATCTTTGGAAAACTCCTATGAGACATGCAAGCAGCGAGTCTTCTAGAACCAGCTTAACCTGGTTCTGTTACTTATATATGTACTTATAGATATTATAGGGGTTATATTACAAGTATAAAATGGCTTTAGCATCGTTTAAATGAAACTAAAGTAATAAAACGTTTTCCCAGATTATAACAACGTATTTCACCTTCCTGTCGACATCCGTGCTTTTGCCATCTTTCCATTATTTACGTTAACATTTCTGACAGTATTTGACGTTAAGTACATATAAAGAGTTATGCAGGGATACATATCAGAAAAATATAAAAAAAATGCATATGTATGTATCTCATCTGTACTGACACATATGGGATACACATGTTGTACTGTTAAAATTAACGAAGTTGTCACGATATATTGGGAAACCGTTAAATGGCAATACACAGGATTTTTGTATTTTATCACCTGATGGAAATGAACATCGTATCAAAATAGTTATCAAAAGATTATTTTATTGATATATTAGGTGGCTTGGCCTTGAAAATTAATTACTGCATATTCAAACTAATATGTTTATATGCCAATAACCATATACCTGTTATATTAGTGGTAAATTGGACTACATTTCGTTGGAAAATATTAAATTTTTGTGATCGATATATTATTTGGGTTGGTAACATTCTGACAACAGCTGTTTAAATTGAATGAGATCCGTTTAATGCAATAGCTAGAGTAAATGTAACGTTCACATAATGACATTTTACTTTTGAGCACTCATATTTACATTTTGTTTTTCTATGTATGCAAGGCAAAATGAAATAAGCGATAGCGCAAGGGTCTGAGATTCCGTCAATTATTGTTGATCGTTGTGATGTTGGAGAATAACCACTATGAGATATTTTTTAACCATATTAATGATTTTTTTTTTCATCTTTGAACGCTAGAATAACAACACATACAAATTATTAGCTTTTTAAAAGAACGAAATCCCGATTGCGTGGAAAATAATCATTTCTTGCTAGGAAAACAAGGATAACGTCCTAGAGACATTAAATATTTTCAATTTTGTTCATACAGTTACCTACCTTAAAGAAGAAACAATAATCTCTCCAGGGGTTTATTCAGGCTTGTTAAATCTAAGATAAACAACCAACATCTTGTTTGGGGGATCAAAGGCTTTTAGAAAATGACAGCTCTAAAATATCCACGGCAATGGCGGAATTATGGAGTAAACAAAGTATAGATGTGATGATAAAATTATCAGCGTATTATTTCTCATTCTTACTCCTCATGGGATGTCTTACTACTAAAATATATGAAAAACGTTTCCAAATATCACAGTTTCCTTGATTGATGTCCATTAGTGACAGACAAACTTACATCGTAGGGTATCGGGAGGAGTTCATGTAGGTCGATAAAGGTCATGAACTAGCTTAACGATTGCCATCATGGTCTATTATGAAATATTTAACTTTCTTGTGCAAAATGAATATCGAGATTTTATTATGTTAGTGTGTGTAGTAGTTTTATAACTGAACGAAAGTGTGAGAAAGAAGACTCCTTCATTTCTGGATCATTTGGTCTTATTTTCCTCGTTCTTTTTTAATGGTCGGCAACATTTTCCATTGTTTCGTAGTTTTCCATTGTTTCATCGATCATCAGTTCGAACTACGTTTTGTTATATATGCAATGTATATTCTAAACGAGAGCTCCTTTTTATATACATGCATGTCGTCATTGTATCTGTGATGTAACGATATAAGTACATGTATAATTCTGTACAGGACTTTGGACGAGTCTCTAAGGTGGCTGGTGGCCAACAACAGAAGAGCAGAAGCCATGGCTCTAGTACGGAAGGTCGCAAAACGTAACAATGTATCCGAGGCAAAGGCTGTGTACTTGCTCGAGAAAATTTTGGAAAGGTTCACGATTACCATAGAATCCACTCAAACCGGCCGTACACAAGACAAAGATTTAACAGTGATGTCATCTATGACTGCTACTAATGACCCTATTGATGTACTGGCACCTTTGACAGAGAACGAAAGGAGTCAGTTTGAAATGCAAACACATGAAACCGTAGGAAATGAAGACAATGAAAACTCCCTACTAGGGATTCCAGAAAGAGAGCACATGCGAGAATGTGAAAGAACAATAAAAGAAAAGTTTGATCAAACAATAACAGAAAGAGAAGATTTGCTGAAAGCAAAAGAACAAAGAGACAAAGAGGAACATATATCTTACTTGGATGTTTTCAGAAATAGGAAACTGCTCCGCAATACCCTAGTGCTGAGCTTATGTTGGTGGGTCGTTATGCAATACATATCAGTAAACACAAACAGATTAACCTCAACTATCTCATTTATTATATGTACCAAAGTGACGAAAAAATCGATAACATCACAATATGGGCATAATTATGTATTAGTCTTTATTATGAGTAAAATTATCTGTAATGAAACCACCATACCACCATGTGCCCAGGAGAAATACCTTCAGGTGCTAACATTTATAATCCNTTAGTGACAGACAAACTTACATCGTAGGGTTTCGGGAGAAGTTCATATAGGTCGATAAAGGTCATGGACAAGCTTAACGATTGACATCATGGTCCATTATGAAATATTTAATTTTCTTCTGCAAAATGAATATCGAGTTGATTATGTTAGTGTGCGTAGTGTTTTTATAACTTAACGAATGTGTGAGGAAGAAGTCTTTCCTTTCTGGAACATTTGGTCCTATTTTCCTCGTTCTTTTTTTTATGGTCTGCAACATTTTCCATTGTTCCGTAGTTTTCCATTTGTTCCGTAGTTTTCCATTGTTTCGTAGGTTTCCATTGTTCCGTAGTTTTCCATTGTTCCGTAGTTTTCCATTTGTTCCGTAGTTTTCCATTGTTCCTTAGTTTTCCATTTGTTCCGTAGTTTTCCATTTGTTCCGTAGTTTTCCATTGTTCCGTAGTTTTCCATTGTTCCGTAGTTTTCCATTGTTTCGTAGTTTTCCATTGTTCCGTAGTTTTCCATTTGTTCCGTAGTTTTCCATTGTTCCGTAGTTTTCCATTGTTTCGTAGTTTTCCATTGTTTCGTAGTTTATCAGTTCGAACTACGTTTTGTTATATATGCAATGTATATTCCAAACGAGAGCTCCTTTTTATATACACGCATGTCGTCATTATATCTGTGATGCAACAATATAAGTACATGTATAATCCTGTACAGGACTTTGGACGAGTCTCTAAGGTGGCTGGTGGCCAACAACAGAAGAGCAGAAGCCATGGCTCTAGTACGAAAGGTCGCAAAACGTAACAATGTATCCAAGGTAAAGGCTGTGTACTTGCTCGAGAAAATTTTGGAAAGGTTCACGATTACCATAGAATCCACTCAAACCGGCCGTACACAAGACAAAGATTTAACAGTGATGTCATCTATGACTGATACTAATGACCCTATTGATGTACTGGCACCTTTGACAGAGAACGAAAGGAGTCAGTTTGAAATGCAAACACAGGAAACCGTAGGAAATGAAGACAATGCAAACTCCCTACTAGGTATTCCAGAAAGAGAGCACATGCGAGAATGTGAAAGAACAATAAAAGAAAAATGTGATCAAACAACTACAGAAAGAGAAGATTTGCTGAAAGCAAAAGAACAAAGAGACAAAGAGGAACATATATCTTACTTGGATGTTTTCAGAAATAGGAAACTGCTCCGCAATACCCTAGTGCTGAGCTTATGTTGGTGGGTCGTTATGCAATACATATCAGTAAACACAAACAGATTAACCTCAACTATCTCATTTATTATATGTACCAAAGTGACGAAAAAATCGATAAAATCACAATATGGGCATATGTATTAGTCTTTATTATGAGTAAAATTATCTGTAATGAAACCACCATACCACCATGTGCCCAGGAGAAATACCTTAAGGTGCTAACATTTATAATCGTGACGTTAATTCAATATTGCCGTAAAACAAGAATAAAAGGAAATGGGAATGTTTATATGTTTGTGTACAAAAAGTATGGGTACGTTCAACAGATCTGTATATACCATTCCCGTTTTACTTCAGGTTTTCGTCTAGTTTTGGCTACATGGGATTGTTCCTGGTGCCCTTCTCATTCACACACAACATCAATATCAACTTCTTCATCAACGCCATCGTCGAGTTTCCGGGATTATTAATCATGCTGTTATTAATTAACAGGTACCGACCCTTAGGCTTATCATTAATATAAAAATCAAAGTGCCCATGACTCTAGAGGATTGGCGGCACGAGTGTTTGTGTTTTTCCACAGATTTTATCCTGAATGGGCAGGCTTCACAATGGTGTCCCTATACATTCATGTGGAATGAAATAAAACAAAAGTTGGCCGGTCTCGCTCCTGTTACATTTTACTGATGACAATATTATATAACCCAAGTAATACATGTAGAATGCATTAAGAATAGTACAATACAACTTCAATGTCTTGATTTACTACACACTATAGTATCTATACTTTGATTTAACTATTGTTGGGTGTTATCTGACATGGTTACAACATGGTAAACATTATCAAATTGATACTCTTAATATTTTTGGTACGTTTCATTATGCTGTAACATAAACAATTTGAAAACAGTAATAGAAAGTCATAACCAACTGTTTAAAAACAAATAAAGTCACCCAGGTGGAGTCATGCAAGGTTATCACAAAATCAAAATCATAGAACTGTGAGCTTGATCCGCTTCCCTCAAGTCAATTGAAGCAATATCTTGATGCTCTGCTTTCTTTGGCTACCTTATGCATGCACAAGTCAAAGTGTTCTTGTATAGTAACGATATAGCAGTGCTTGCCATGTTGCTCCTATAGGCTGACTGGTGATGTACTACGAAGGATATAGTCCTGCAACGACAGTATGTTGCCAATAGATCTACTACTACAAATGACAAGATCCTATATTTGGGGGGTCCTAAGAGTCGATGTTAAGACATAGAAAAATTGCTTTATTTAAAAAAAAAACCGATCGGAAAGATTTGTGGTCATCAACGTTTTCTCTGTCATTAATTTGCTGCCCCCCCCCCCCCCCCCCAAATCTCCAGACAGCTAAGAAACCGTATCAGAAAGCCTGGATTGTGCATTTACCAATAGCAATACATCTTATCCCGAATGTCAACAAACACATGCTCTCCAGCACGAGGTCGTTGCCCAAATTATTGATGCAATTAGAAAGTCCTGGTAACCCCAAAAGCAAATTATATAGGGCATTGCATAAATGTTGTATACTACTTTAACTATATAAAAGAGCAAATTTTGTACAGAATAAGAACCATTTATTTCATCTGAGTATTGATAGCTAATCATGCCAAATCACCGTCTTAATTCTTTCAGAATTGGTCGGAGGTGGTTGACCATGGCATACTTTGGACTAGCCGGCGTTGCCATAGTAGTGGCTGTCAGCATTTTACTCCTAAATTCAAGTAAGATGTCATCATTAACAACAAAGTAAAGTACAAGTAAGCATTACCCGAGCAGCATTTCGCTCAGAACGATAAACTGCATTAAATGCATTTTTCACATTATAAATCTGCTGCGTTATTAAACTATTAAACAGTATTAAACTACGTCATGAAAAGACTATATAATATACAAAAAACATTCGAACCCTTGGTAATTCAGCGGAGGTTGTTTACACCTTTTATAAACCACTTGACTTATATTACCTTAAATATGAACGAAGGTCATTCATTTCAACAAATTTCGTATCCCTTTACCCCAGCACGCTACTGGCAAAATATTATCATCCTAGAATATTTTGTTATCCAGAGAAGTCGTTTAAAGTTCATTTTTTACATTTCTGACCCCCGTGACCTTGAATATATGTTTAAGTCATTCGTTTGATCTAATTTGGTTGTACTTTATCCCAGCATCTTTCTGGCTAAATATTAAGACCTTTTACGGAAGAAGTTGTTAAAAGTTTTTCAAAAACACTTGACCCCTATGACCGTGAATATGAGTGAACGTCATTCGTTTGAACGAACTTGGTCACCCAGTCATGCTACTTGCCAAATACCGTCAGCCTCAATCCTTTGGTTATTCGGGTGAAGTAGTTCGTAACAAACTTGGTAGCCCTGTACCCACCCCAGCATGCCACTAGCCGAATACCATCACCATAGGCCTCTTGGTTATCAAAAAATCGTTAAAAGTATAAAGTTGACGCTGAACGGGTGGACAGATGACGGACACCGTGTCACATCATAAGCTTACTTGGCCTAGTGGGCCAGATGAGGTAATAATGTTAAAAATATACTTTAGAATTCATGCATTACAAAACGTTTCCAACGATCCAAAATACCTAATATTCGAAGATGACGATACCATATTTTTAGAAATAATAACAATTGAATAATTCCTGCCATTTAAACATACACACGTTTATTTCTAGAAAGTAACGAGACCACTCAGACTATGGGAGCTGTAGGGATCTACATAGGGAAATTCTCTATCTCTGGTGTCGTTGCTATGTTGTATATATACACACCAGAACTTTTTCCAACCAACGTCAGGTATGTATGTGTATTGCAGAATCTACATCTGGTAATATATTTTTGAACCATCGTTACGGAGCCTATGTCATGTATGTATTAAAGAATCAACAACAGATATATATTACTGAGCCAATATCAAGTATTTATTACTGAACAAACCCCATATATATAATACTGAACCAATACGAGATACAGAGTAGGTACAGTGTTAGTGGCATATAACGTGACGTTTGTTCAGTTATGCAGTGTGTCATACCGGAACCATCTTTTTACAAAGGGATGGGCCTGTGTTAAAAAAATCTTGTCCGGCAACTCCTCCAAAACTATGGGGCCAATTTTAACGAAAATTTTCAGATATGATAACTATAACCTGATATTGTGCATCCAGGTATTATTCTTTTCGTTCTGACAATTTTTAAGGAGTTATTGCCCTTTGTTGAAAACTTCCTGCCCGCACAACTTCTCCAAAACTACTTGATCAATTTCCAAATTTTTCAATTTGACCCTTTTTTTATGGAGTAATGACCCTTTGTTGAAAAACAATTCTCCAGACGTCGGAAGCTGCAACATGGTATAAGCTCATTTGTCCTTCGGGCAGGTGAGCTAAAAAAATCTTTTGACAGTCGTATAAAAAACGCCAACAAATTAAGCTGTTTTTGGCCGACATTGCTTACACTGCATATAAATCCCTAGGTGAAAAGTCATGATCAAAAGCCTCTTGATTGCGGTGATCCAACAATGTCTGAAAACTTTACTCGAAAACTTTAACCTGAAGCGAGATACCAACACTGAGATGGCTAAATTGCACCCCCCCCCCTGCTTCTCATAGTTTGAAGGGACGTAGCTAAAACAATCAATATACTTCTGGTAGATTCTACGAATGAGGGTACACGCATACATGCACATAATTCACAAATAAACACGTTTGACAGGCAGGACATCAACTGTGACATCGGCTTGTTGGTTTCCTATTTTGCATAATTAGATCATTTAGGTAATGCTGCGTGTAGGGTTCTGAAAATAGATATTTGTATATCATGCTGAAATATGTAACTTTGGACTAAAAACAAACACAGGAAAATATTGACTCTATATATATCTTTCCTTTTTCTTTCTTTTCTTTTTCTATTGTTTATGACTACAAACAAAGCTCCACAAATCAATTCGTGGTCGACAACAGTTTTTGTCTTTTATCATTAATGCTTCACTCAGATCAAAAACCAAGATGCAATATATTGTTGTTTGGGATTGTTTGCCTTTCGTTTATCATGTAATAAAAAATCATCTGAGTCTAAGGTAGAACCACATTATTCTGGTTCTTTTAATGTGGTTGAAGAGTATCAAAAGCGACACTATTTCTTATCACATACTGTATACTGTAAGTGTACCAGAGCGCGACAAAACTCATGAAGATTAACAGTAATGCAGTTTCAGCTACTGGTGTGTTTAGGGTTGTGACCCCGCCCTACTGGAAATGCCTGTGATGAGTGTTACGATTATGAGTAAACCATAGCTTGTGTGTTATACAGGACAGTGTTCTTCAACAGTTTTTATTCGCAATCTATATTTGGATTTCATTACGATTTATATAATGCAGAGACATATAAAGCATATACGTCTCTGCATAATGTAGTCAGTGGTTTTGCTCTGTACCGACGGACTATGAACTCAATGAAGACCGGTATCATTTCAACAACTGTCCCCGTACTGAACGAGTCCTCGTGAAACAGCTTAATTTTGATATGAAATGAAATGAACCAGATCTCCATATTTGCAAATACTGCAAAATTATATCAAATTTGCATAGTTACCTTTTATTTCAAAGCATAATATTTATTTATAGATTAAACTACGACATGATCACGACATTTTCCAAAAATTGTTCAGTTAAGTTTTGCACTGAATAATCTTTCTTTTGGTATTTCCGAAGAGTTTGGTATTGTGATATTTAATCGTTTGTCTTATCGTCATATGTTTTTGGTAAAAACTCAGTCTTTAATATGTTAAAACTGACATTTTCACATAATATTGCTAATGCTATTTAGCTTACCTTGCTTCGCACCACCCGCATTACTCCGTATCATACCGATCGGGGTACACGGTGTGATGAAACATTCTCCATCTCTCGAGGTATTTTTATTTTTATTTTTACATTATAGAAATATCGGTTACGGTATAACAGGCTGTGCAGGAAGACTTGGTGCTATGACAGCTCCATTTTTAAATGTGTTGGTGAGTAAAATCATTAAGTCGACTTTAAACTGAGAAGCAATTGAGTTCATGAAATAACTAGAGAATGTCTGCAAGACATGAATGGCCCCGCCGCGATGTGAAATTAGTTCAATGTTTTTAATCTCTATCAATTGTTACGACATTGAAATTGACACCCTGAAATATGTACGCATTCAAGGTATTATCATACTTCGAGTTGATGAATGGAGAAATACAGAGGGGAAACAAATCTGTGAATAGATTAGTTTATAAGCGTATGAGTTATTCTCATACCTGAAAACTTTGACGAAATCCGTAAAGAAATGAAGTACATGTAGCTAGAGTGATGATACTAAGTCGTTAGATGGTTGTCTGGATGATTTTTGATATACAGCAACTGTACATATGACCTTGGCTTTAACTATGAAACCGTACAGTATATATATTCCAGAGGAATTCACATGCTTGACCTTTGTATAAAGTTTGATAAAAATCCATCAAAGAATGAACTCCTTACGACCTAATGGTAGAGGGTGAAACATATTTCCTACAGACGAGCAGCAATGCACGTGTGTCACAAATGTCTTTAGGTCAACTAGGATTTTGCCATGGGTCATATGTCAGTATATAAACTTCTTCGAATATTTGATGTTAATGGTAACAGTAGGAAACTTAAATCACTTACCCATAACAAACACAGAGAAATAAAACGTTTAAATATGTGACTACTTATTAGCTAGAGTGGAATTGATGTATTCCCCGAGCGGAGATTCAGCTGATAATGCTGCACTGTAAATAATACACTTTAAACTTTGCGAGTCGAACGATTTAAGGTAATACAGATGTTGTTAAGGCGAGCATTTTGGCAATATAATTTATTTTGTCATAAATATGAATTATGATTTGACTGTTTGTCTTTTATTGAACAAGGGCAACACCCTTACAAATAATAAATTATGTATATTAAAAACTATTCTAATAAAGGATGTACACGCCAAGCTTTTATGCTAACATTGGTTATTAGTCACATGATTAAGTGATGCTAAGGAGGGTGCTTCATTGTCTTTGAAATATATATGTTTTAATTGGTAAAATAAATCACTCCTGGTGACCATATGTACCTGAAACCACAGGTGAAAATACAGGTATATTAATCATGAGGTAAATTCTACCTTTGAAATAACACTTTACCTATATACCTTATTCCAACAGATGGTATAGTCCTTTCCCAACTGATAGGGCGATCACCACATCGTGACATTAGAACAATTAAATTAGGTAATGTCAGTCTGGTGAGCCTTGACCAATGGCTGACTGGTGGAGACCCTACTAATATATAGATCATGGAGGATTAATCCCCTATTGTTTAGAGTATAAGTAGTGGATTCCTTGTTTGGGAAACACCCTGAGATAGATATTCAAACTGCTGGCAAGGGGAAGCCATAGAAAATCATTGTCTTAGGGATGGCTGATATTAGAAGGAAATCCTATATGAAATAGAGGAACATCTTAAAAACCTTGGTCCAGGTTATGTTTGGGCAAAGAAAAAAGGGTATTGCACGGGCAACTAGGACAACACCCCGGGTTGCACAGGCAACTAGGGCAACATCATTGGGTCGGCCCCTGCACAGTGACCTACTTCTTGCACTCCACCATCCCAAGATGTCCTTGTACACCAAAACTGGCTACTTTAGATGAAAAAGTATAGAAGATATGACCCGTATAAACATTTTCAAAGGTGAAGGTCAAGGGTCAAGTCATTGGTCACAGTGATATATAATACTTGCACTCTGCACTCCGTCATCCAAAAATGTCATTGTACCCCAAATCTAGTTACTCCAGGTGAAATAGTACAGAAGATATGCCCCGGACAAACATTTTCAAAAGTGAAGGTCAAAGCATCCACAACATGTCTTCGGTAGAGCAAACCTAACTGCATCAGTTATGTATGCTTTTTCCATATAGCAATTACGTATAAAACAATTTTTTTCTAGACAATGTTTTCTGGACCAAGTAAACTTTTACTGTTTGTACCCTCAGGAGGTACGATGATTACACTTGGTCGAGGGTTTCGTCCTTACTTAAGGGAGTAGTCTTGTAAACAATTACTCCTAATTCTTCATTTGTGACCTTGGCCCAGTTGGCCACTTTTGTCAAAATAAAAACTGCACTTTTAGACTAGTAAGAATTCTTATCCGAAAACTGTCTGTGAGATGTCAATGTGATGAACGTATAGAAGAGCCCTGTGAAGGGTGTAAGCAGCTAGTTTTTTAGTCGGTCGTTAGTCTTATTTTTTCTTTATTCATATTATATATATACATGTTTATTGTTATATTTCGTATCTTTTTTCTTCTCATCTTCGTTTACAGGCATCAGCTGCTGAGTGGGCTCCTGCAGCAGCCTTAAGTGCCACATTCGTTTTGGCACTATGCTCTCTACTTCTCCTGCCAGAAACCAAAGGGAAGGAACTCCCACAGACATTACATGAGTTTGTGTTGATGGAAGGAAATGACAAAAAATCAAAATTGTGTAATCCATGTACATGTGCACACTCTTGCTTATGTTGTTAGCTTGTGAAGTCTGCGGTCCAAATTATAAGTTTATCTGTAGTTATGTTAGCTAAGTTCAATTAAGTTACGGAACAATTCTTGATCAAAATTGTTCAAGCAATTATTAGCAGAAACTGCTTTCATTCAAAAAGATATTTGTTTTATTGAAGTATATATACCGTAATACACTTATCCCTGTATAGTACATGCACATATTAATGCACGTCTCGCACGAACCTAATGACTCCAAATATTGTTAATGCAGTAATCCTTGTTAAAAAGGCTTAGAAATTGCTGATCATCAAAACTGACAAGGGGACTAAGAAAAGTACTACATCAGACAATTTTGACCACAATCTGACAATTCCTTCACAAGATTTATCACACCGAAAGCAAAAGCCAGACAGATGGATGGACAAGCTGATTACTAAAGGGCAGCACATCTTCGATGCAGGGCTCCAATAAGGTTGTTAACGCCATTACTGTGACATGGCGGCTTATATTAGATTTTCTCTTTCTCTTATTACAAAAAATTGGTGAGTCTGCCCACCCTTGATTCAAGCACTGGATGAATTCTTGAAAAAGGCGGATTCCTGAATTTTGGTTGTAAATTAGTTGTTCTAGGGACGAGGACTTAGACAAGAGATCCCAGAGGAATCTTGTCGCCGACCACTGTGCAATCTTCATTAGTTCTATGTCAGTTCTATCTTTTCTCTTATTTCTGCACCTTGAGGTAACCATTTTGTTTATTCCATCAAATCTCAAAAGTGAACATGCACAATTAACGACCAAGGAAAACCTACATAACAAATTTGAGAAAACATTTCCAGTATTTCATTAAAAATAGCGAAAAAAAACATTCACTGTCAAAATCCAAGATGGTCTCCTGACAGGTATTTTTTTTGTCCGAGCCGTCTCAAAATTAAACATGCTCAATTGGAAACTACGGGGAACCTACATATGAAATTTGAGACAGATACCCCAAGTACTCCTTTAAAAATATAGGGAGAACAAACATTCTGTCAAAATCCAAGATTACCGTATGTCGGCCATTTTGTTATCCAATTGGTCTAAGAAACACCATGCACAGCTACAGACCAAGGAGAACCTACATACCAAATTTAATCAAGATACCTCAAGTCCTTCCTGAGTAATAGCGGTAACAAACATTCAATGTCAAAATCCAAGATGACCACCTGTTGGCCATTTAATATGAAAAGGCAAAGACCGACAAAACAATAGGGGAGATCGGGGCAAATTCGGCCCTTTTTAATGTCCGTTTTGGGAAGTATGACAGCACGTTCGTTTTTTAACATTATTTAATTTTCCCTGTCGGATGATCGGATGGCTGAAGGAGCCCCCTATGGGATAAGTTCGGATCGGCATTCGGTTAAATACGGCCCCCCATTAGAATCAGCTTAATTATGACATAAAAAGCATGCAACGTCAGATTTTACCGCCAATGTTACGACTTTTTATATGTTACATGGGCCGAACTTGCCACGGTATCATTAGCCGAGACTGTCCGGGACCAAAATGATATTTCAATAAATTCTTATCGTACAGCAATATGGTAGTGAGTGCTTGGCTTTGCTTTTATGTATATCATTTAAAGCTGTCAGTGTGTTACACGTTTGACCGTAAAAAAATAGCAATTCCGTTTACAGAAAGTTCGCATAACTCAATAGAAGCGAGATCATGATTTTCTTTCTTCCCTCTAAAAAGTATTTTTTTTCTGTTTAGTAATTTCAGATTAGAGTTTTCCTCGCCATTTTTTCCTTGTGAATGCCCAACCAACTAAACTGCTAATATCTTTAAAGTTGTAAATATTAGCTCAAAAACAAACATATCAGGGGTGGCCGAACCTGCCCCGGTCTGCCGTATGAAGATTTTTTTTATATCGTTGATGATTGGTAAAAATGTATTCGCAATATAATTTTTGCATCAATGACGCCATTTTAAAACTAAAGTAGATATATGTTCCTGTGCGTAACATATATGATGGGTCGGGTGGCGCAGTGGAAAGCGCGCTCGTCTTCACCAAGATGGCCGGATTCAATCCCGGTTACCTGCCCGACAACGTGGGTTTTCTCCGGATACTTAAGCTTCCTCTCACATTAAGAATTAAATTCTCTGCGTGCTTCCATCAGGTCACAAAAAAAATGATTGAAATAAGTTGGGGAATAACTGTTTGGTAATTGCTATAGAAAAAAGTGCATATTACACATTTGATAAGTCTATAAAAGTAAATGTATAGAAATGTTAGTTAAAAAATTAAATTAAAAAAATGAAAACATTGTAATACATTGATGTAACTGAGATTGTCGTTATATTGATATATAGTCTGAATTCCTGTTCCATCCTGAAACACCGGATTGAATTTCAAGTTTTGTAACTGTCACTGAGGTTTGACAGGTAATGCTGCCAAATAAAAATAAACACTTTCTGTCTGTTACTAGTTATAAATCAGCATGCGTTGTGAAAAAGTGATAGGTTGCTGAAAAATGTCGTTGAACTCGGGTTCGTTGTCCGGACAATTATTGTTGATTTCGACATAAATGAAATTATTCATTGTTTCTTTTATGAGTGGTGATGCATGCATAAATTATGTAAAGACAATAACCAGACTTTCAAAAAAGTTAATGATTCCGTTCATATTCTCAACAAATCGAAATCAAAAGCTGATGAAATTTTAGACGATGAAAAATAAATGTACACGTTGACCTATTGGTTTAATGCGGCTCTTTTTGAAAATATCTCCCGGTAGAAATATTAACATGCCTGGTTGATGACAAAAAGGATCTTCAGAAATCATCCGCGTTATTACCTTCCAGTTCCAAGATTTTCCGGTTATTTTTCATCATTCCGGAAATAACCGATGAAGGCCGATGCAGTGTGACGTAATAGTATGCTAATCTCTGAACGACGTTCCATGCCTGCTTGTATCAAAATTTATGTGATAGATTTTTTTCACTCAGAATGTATACTAGTTTTTACCTGAATAAACAAGTAATAAAACATGGGTATTGTTTTCACTATATGAAGATGTTCATGTATGGGTTGACACACAATTGTCTTTGCTTCAAGGATACACTTCCTTTTTCCCCACTGGACGTTTACCTCCGGACGAAAACAACAAAAGGCAAGGTGAAGCAAGGGGAAGCAACTCTGTTTACGCACGCATGTGTTACCATTTAAGAGCTTCGCTCGTCGGGCGCCTTTGGCGCCCGAGAGCTTAGCTCTTATTAATTTATTCATTCACAACTATAGACCAAGAGAAACCTACAAACAAATTTTAGAAAGATCCCTCGAATAATTACTGAAAAATAGCGCTAACAAACATTCACTGTCAAAATCCAAGATGGACGCCTGTCAATATATATGAGCCGTCACAAAATTAAACATACACAACTAGGGACCAAGGGGAACCTACCTATTAATTTTGAGAAAGATCCCTTCAATGTTTTCTGAGAAATAGCGATAACAAGAACTGTTTAAGGACGGACCACGAACGCAGGGCGATTTGATCTTATGGTCGGCTAAAAAGAGGAGAGAGGAATCGAATGAAGCGGTACTGGACTAGGTCGTTTGTCGGCGACCATGTAGTTCAATTGCTAGAGAATCTGTCTAGAGTTCGGAGGGGCCCAGGTTTGAATCCCAGTCTGGTCGTGCATTTCTTTTCTCCTATAACAGATGTATCACCAATATTTTTGCGCCAAATAACAAATACAAAATGGTCTATATACATCTTTAAATTTTACTATTTTCAGTCTGTTGTTCTCTATTACAGAGCTTGCGATCCTGAACAGGTCATGCCATCCATGGGGTATGATAAGGTTATCTAACATAAACAAAATAAAGAGTTAAATACATAAATTACCAAAAAAATATCCAAACTGAATGAACTTTGACATGACCTGGCTGAACTTCGAAATAACGATACCCAAGCCGTCATGATGGTCATTAAAAGGTATCTAAATATGTCTTTCAGCAGGAGATATGCACCGGCGGTTCCTACACATCAAATTACTTATAAAATGATATGTTTATGTAAGCGAGTAAATGTTTTATATAAAATGTTGCTAAAATGAATTGATGTATGCCGATATGTGCACACGAGTCTTACATTTTTCAATTGATATAGTTAAATTATGATCAGTGGTTTTTGAGGATTGTATCTGTTGACATTATTTTTTGAAGATTATTGGAATATTTTTTAACCTTATTTAATTAGTAAATGTATAACTAAGGGAGGTAACTGTTTTAATCAATCACATGTGTCAAGTAATGTAAAAGATGTTAATATAATGATGATATTTGCATAGATCTGTGATATTTTTTGGCAATTTGCTTGAAATGTTTGATTCTTAAATATGATCAGCTGTATGCCAAAGAGTTGTCTGAATGGTATTTTTTCAAGCATGAAACTGAAAAGTATTGATCAGGATTAAGATACAAGTTTTATAGTGCCTTTTAGTAGGAATATGATAACATTATGAGGTTGAGAGAAAGGTAGTGAAACTGGTAATTGAATGGCTGTACAAATGAATGGGATGGGAAAATGTGTCGAACTGCTAACAAGAATTAAGATGTTTTAGAAATATGTGAAGTATGAGGGATTGAACATATTGATATTTTCTGAATCAGGTTTAAATTTAATAAATAAAAAAATGATCTTATATGATGGTTTTTGTTGTTTTCATTACCTTAGACTCAAAGTGACCATGTTGTCATATATGTACATAAAAGTTAATGATACATCAGTGTAATTTGCCACTGCTTTCCTTCATATGTAAATCAATACTCGCTACACTGTTGCAAATATGATAACATGGTCATTTATTACCAGCAGTTTCACAGCATTACTGTTACATATGTGTATGACCTTCTACAACAAAGTCACAATGCACAAGAATTTGCACATGTCAATTTTTTCGCGAATCCCAATCCCTGCTATTTCTTCCGAAACTTTTGGGCGACACCCAAAAATAAATCCTGGGTCCCCCCTGGTTATGTGTGATAAGATATTACAAAGAAAACAAACAACAAAATATAAATTTTACGCAGTTTCTTCTTTGTTTTTAATATCATTGTAAACAATAATTATGAACTCACTGATAATAAACCAATTATTAAAATCCTAAGAATCCCAAGCGGTTTGCCTTCATTTTCAGAGATCGATTTTCGGAGAGTGAACATCGTTTTTTTAATAGCATATTTACGTCCATGTATTTTAAGTTTGGCTCACAAGGTGACAGGCATTCTCCTTCTAACTACAGGCCAATTTCCTTATTATATACAGTTGGAAAAGTGTTTGAAAGAGTAATTTTCAAGTACTTGCATGACTATTTTATTGAAAACTCACTTTTCTTTAAGCACCAGTCTTTTCCTGGTCATTCTATTGTATATCAACTCATTGAAATTTACCATAACATCTGTATGTAACTAGAGGAAAAAACATGACTCAATTGCACGTATGGTATTCTGTGATATTTCTGAGGCTTTTAATCAGGGTTGGCATAAGGATTAGATGATTAAGTTCAAATCCAATGACATTTTAAGCAAATTTTAACAATGGTTGGACAATTACCAATTTCTTTATAGAGTAAATCTTGTTGAAAGTCCAGTTTGCAACTGCGGCCATTAATATGAAAATGCTTTTCACATTTTTTGTGAGAACCTACTTTTTTACAACAAAAGACGCGTCCTGCTCCAAGATTTGAATGCCTTACATGTTGATTTCAATTTATAACTGATTTTGTTCTGTAATGCTCAACTTTCAGAAAACCTCAACAATAACAATTTTAGACATGTGCATCATTACATCAAATCCAGCAACAGGTTTTAAATATTACAATTATTTATATGTAACCCGG